TGGGCGGTTTGGTTGTTACTTTGGTAATGGAGTACTTGATTGGTGTGGGTTGTCTTCCGATGAACTTGGGTTTCTAATTTCCCGTTTTCCTCTGGTGATGAGGATATCCAGGAAGGGTAGCGTGTTGCTGTTTTCTTCCTCTCTGATGAATTTTATTCCTTTGAAGATGCTGTTAATGGTTTCTCTTGTGTCTTCTCTAGTTGTTTCTTTTTTATTATAACAAATGTGTCATCTACAGACCGGACCCATACTTTGGGTTGTATGTGGGGAAGTGCTATAGCTTCTAGGCGTTGCATTACAATCTCTGCTATGAGTCCTGACAGTGGTGATCCCATGGGTGTGCCTCTGATTTGTTGGTATATCTGTCCATCAATCTGAAAATAGGCGGTGAGGCAGAGGTTGATAATAGGTACCATCCTGCCAGAATTCCTGACCCGATTGATTATCCCAGCCTTAAAAATTACTGAGCAGCATATAAGTGTAACCCTTTTTCTCCTTTTTTTTGCACCCCCCTTCTGCCCCCAAGGATTCTGTATAACACACATTACTATTCCATGGAGCTCTTCCAGCCTTTTTTCGGCTACTACTTCTTCAACGCCCTTCTGGTAGTCCTGCAGCTCCTCCACGTCTTCTGGTCCTACCTGATCATTCGCATGGTTTATAGGTTCCTGATCTGTGGCACGGTAAGGGCACAAATTGGGCACTTGGGGAGGTGGGAGCTAAAGGCACATGTTGCGGAGTGGGGAGAAGACCAGAAATTGCTTTCCTTTTATCCTGCTCCAATTTAGTTCTTCTCTGCTGTGCGTTGGATGTCCAATTCTTTGGTTCTGCAGATCCTTGCTCTGCCCACCCTCAGGTGCCTCTCCTCCTTGTCACCTCTAATTTCTCCCAGGTTGAATTGTAGATTGTAAACTCTGTGGGGCAGAGATCTGTTCCGCTCTGCTCTGCAAAATGCCCGCTGTCCAGATGCTGATCATGCAGTCATTTAAGAGGGGGGATGGGAGAGGGAAATTCAGTGGGGGCGACGCAGGGCCTGCTTGGTTCCTGTGGTGTCGATCACCCATCCTGAATGCTTGTGCAAGGCTGGTGTTCAGTGTACCTGGGGCTGTCCAAGGATGGCATCTTTCAGTGCGGATGGCCCTCGTGGCCAGGATAGGCATCTGTTTGGCTGTCCCATGAGCTTGGGAGACCCAGGTCAGCTCCCCCACCCCTCCCACCCCCGGTTGGGCCCTGAGAAAACAACAGGATCCTGGATACCCCTATCATTGTCCCTGCGAGATATCTGAGAAGGCCACACATGGCAGCACCCACCCCACATGCGAGTTGCATCAGAAAGGAGGCAACATTCTGCCAAACGTTTTCCACAACCTGCTTGACCTGCATTACTGAATGAAGTAATTTCTTCTTGTCTTCATAAGACATGGAATTGTAAATTAACCCAATTTTGCCATCAAAACACAATGAGAAATAAAGCTGACCACAAGTGACATTAATTCAGCCCAGCACTCTGTCGGAATACAGCAATTAAGTTCATATCTGACCTGGCTTGGCATGTGGGGTGAACAGAACCAATTCTAGCGCTCTTTCTATTGCCAGCAGCCAGGCAGGGGTGTTGTACTTTTAAGGTCCAAACAGCACCATGTACACATAAAAGGTGAGCTCGATGGGTGTGGAAGAACTGGAAACTCTGCAGAAATGCAAAATACATTCAGAAAATAACTAAAAGGAAGGATCCTCTGCTCCCCCACAACACCCAAGCAAGCACACTAAAACTGCTAAGAAACAGAATGGAGTCGCTGAAAAGGTGGAGTGAAGTACTCCATGCTGCAGCATCTCAGTTGCAGGTCCCTCTTGCAATTTTTTAGGGAGTGCCACCTATCTTTGTTTTCATCATATAAAATGGGTCCAAAAATGTACAATCCAGAGATCAGCTGTGGTCCAACAGGATCCCTACTGTGTCCCTCAGCCTCAGAGCCTCAGGAGAGGGGGATGACCATGGTTG